TATCCCTTCTGGTGGCTTTGAAATTAAAACCTGCTCCTGTTTTTCCCTGGTTTGTCTCAAATTTGGCATTGTGAGGCCAGGGAAGGGGAGGGATGAGGTGCCCCGGCTTAGTTCCAGGCAGTCAGCTCTGTCCCACACCTCCAGGCACAATCCTGAGTGGGTAAAAAGGGAGTCCAAACTCCCCGGGGGGGGCTATTTGCCAGCAAGAGAAAGCAGAAGCATCCCTTTCAGATGAAAACGCTGTTAACCCTGAAGCCCAAGGATGGCCACGTGGTGGCAGTGCTGCTGGCAAATCCCAGGAAAAGCAGCAATCCAAAATCCTTGGGTGCAAATCGAGGAGTGATATTCTGCCCTTCTCTCCCATAAAAGAGCCTCCAGAGACACCTTCCAACCTTTTGCAGGACTTCTGAGCACTCCCCAGCCCCTCAGTGCCGTGGAAATAGGGGAACCCGTGGGCCCAGGGCCTTCTCCTGCACGGGGGTAGTCTCCTAATCCAGCTCCTAATGCTCTTATCCCAGCTCCTGCTGCTCCTAATCCGATTCTCACGCGCTGTGTGCGAGGCCACCAGCCAGCCCCCACCCAGTGCCTCAGTTTCTCCGTGCTGCTGCTCTGTCTCCCACCCTCCCCAAAAAAACCCCTGCAGGTATAACAGCACGACAGGGTGACGCTGACTCCCGGGGTGCCGGTCCCCAGCTGTTCCCAGCATTCCCCCCCCCGTGCTCCCTCCTTGCTTCCACTGCCCAGGCTGGTGGGGAGCTGGGGGAGACCTAATCCCCCCAGTGCAGTGGGCTAGTGGGTTTGGAGGCAAAGCTGATCCTGGCTCAAGCTGCCGCCTCCTCCTCCTCCTCCTCGCGCAGCTCCAGATGGCCTGGATGCCGCCAGTCTGCAAACCAGCCCGGGACCATCTGCTTGGCAGAAGCCAATCGGTGGGAAGTGGCTCCTCGTTGCCAACAGGCACTTGGAGAGGGTCCGGGGGTCCTTCCCCCCCACCCCCCAGCAGCGTGGAGGCCCCCTCAGCTCTTCAGTCACTTCCCTGGTGGGTTGGGGTTTGTCCATGAAACAGTCGAGCCTGGACTCCTGAATCTCCCTCCACTTAATTTCCCTTCCCTAGAGACACCTGGAGTGGCCAGGACCGCCCTGGGAATTTCCCAGGTGGGTGCCAGGGACAAGGAGGGTGGCTCGTGCATCCCGGGGGACAGAGATGGGTGCAGGGGACCATGCCGTGGGGCTGAGCCACCCCAAATGTCCCAGCCCCACCAGAAGATGTGGTTAGGCACCCATGGGTGGTGAGAAGCCAGCATCCACATGGGTGCCCACCCCTCCACTCCCCACCTTTCCAACCCTGTTTCCCAGAGGATGGCCTATCTTGGTGTGGGGACAGGTTGGACATCTCTCCACGGATGGTGGAGCTGCTGACTGAAGTGCACTCCAGTCACATGGGCAGGGGACACCCCACAGGGTGGCCAAGCCTGAGGACACTCACCCCTAGGGGAGAGGACCTACCTCGGGTGTTGGTGGCCATGTCGGCCACTTTCTGGAAGGCATCCAGGAAGGCAACTGCAGCCAGCACTGTGGTCCTGGGGTGGAGAGAGCGAGGGGGGAGCTCAGCAGGTGTGAGGCACACTGGGATGTGCCACAAGGAGAGGGGACCCCCATGTCCCACACCACCCTTTGGTCACTCACCTGAGCTGGGAGTGCAGCTTGGTGGCCTTTGAGTTGAAATCCTCCCAGATGGGGTAGGAGCTCTGTAAGGAGGAACAAGGAGGAAGGGCCATGGTGAGAGACAGAGCCCCTCATCCCCTGCACCTCCTCCCACACAGGGCAGCTCTCCCCTTCACTGGTACAGAGAGACAAGGCACCTCAGGGACTTCTCTGATGGTTAATAAAGGCTGAGCATAACCCTTTCCCCTCCCGTTTTCTTCCCTTTCCAGTCTGGCCACCCAAACATGTACACCATGGAGACCTCAGGATCTTGGGTGATCTCTTCCTCACAGGGCATCTCATGGGTTTGGAAATTTGAGAGGAAGAAAGGAAAGAGCTTTAAGACCCTGGCCAGCAGTAGAGTAGAGCCCCCCAGAACCTGCAGTCTCCCCCAAAGCACTGATGGCCAAACCCACCATCATGGAGGGCTCCATTCCCACAGCAGGAGCCCCAGTCCTCGCCTCTACCAAGCCCATGAGGACCAACTGGGCAGGAGGGGAGGTTGGGGTTGGGGACAATTGTATGGGGACAGGGACAGGGCACAGGTGCTTGGGAGGCCACCCCAGTGCCATTCCAGCAAGGCCATCCCTGCAAGACCAGTCCCACTGCCTTTGTGGTGAGGCTGTTCCAGGGTTGCCCTGATGCAACCATCCCAGTGAAGCCATCCAGGGCTGTCCCAGTGCCATCATCCCAGCAAGGCCATCCCAGGGCTGTCCCAGTGCCATCATCCCAGCAAGGCCATCCCAGGGCTGTCCCAGTGCCACCATCCAGTGAGGCCATCCCAAGGCTGTCCCACTGCCACCATTCCAGCAAGGCTATCTCAGTGCGGCGCCAGTGAAGTCGGTCCCAGTGATGCCTCAGAGATGCCAGTCCCAGTAAGACCATCCTGGTGCCATTCCACTGAGGCCTGTCCCAGTAATGCCAGCCACAGTGCCATCCCAGCAAGGCCAGTCCTGGTGCCATTGCAACGAGGCTAATTCTGGTGCAAGCATACAGCAAGACTATCCCAGTGTCATCATCCCAGTGCCACCATCCCAGCGAGGACAGTCAGTGTTGTCCTGATGAGGTTAATCCTGGTGCTGTCTTGGCAAGGCCATCCCAGTGCCAGCCTGGCATGGCCAGTCCTGGTGCCATCATTCCACTGAAGCTGTCCAGGTGCCACCATCCTGGCAAGGCCATTCCAGTGCTGTTACAGAGAGGCTGGTCACAGTGCCACTATCCCAGCAAAGCCATCCCAGTGGAGCCAGTCCTGGTGTCACCATCCTGGTGAAGCCACGCTGGTGCTGCCATCCCAGCAAGGTCAGGTCCTGTGCTGTCATCCCAGTGACAAGATCCCGGTGCTGTCCCGGTGTCACCACCCGATGGCAGTGCCAGGGGCCTGCAAACCCCCCCGAGGCAGCCACCAGGCTGAGACACAGACACCAGAGCCAGCCTTGCAGGACGTGGGCCACCACACATCCCCATGGGCACTCTGGCTTGGTGGCAGCTCTGGGGACAAGGTTTGCACCGAGGTGTCATGGGAGCAGCCCGACAGTGCTTTCTGGGGACCATGAAAGCCCCGATTTCCTCATGAGTCAGCAAAGGAGAGGTCTGAGGGTGCCACTTCATCTGTCCATCGTGGCAGTGCCCTGGCTGTGGGTCCCTGGGGACTGCCATTGCCATCATCCCTGGGTCACTGTCCCTGGGCCACCTTCCATGGCCATCCTGAGCAAGGCGAGTGAGGCTCCCCTGTAGCAAGGGAGCAGGTCCTGATGCCCCCAGTCCCCTGTGATGCCAGGCAAGAGGAGGATGGGGAAGAGGACAACGGGGACAAGGACATGCCAAGGTCACCCAGGGACGCTGAACACGTGGGAAAAGAGGCAACAGGAATGAAGCTGGCTTGGGGACTGCCACCAAGTGAGTCCTCCTCACCACAGGCCAAGGGGTGCTGAAAAAGCCACCCACCACCAAAATAAGGTCCCTCTGCCCTCCTGTGTCCTGGGCAGGAGTCCCAGCCATAGGACCCCAAGTACATTGCTGCCCTTCAACGTTGCAGTTCTTTGGGGACGGAGTTATTTGTCCCCCAGTGCCTGTTCCAGGCCACCCACGTGGCTGGGAGATGGGGACAAGGTACCCTTAGGTGCCACCGGCGCTCGGCTGGGGCTGCACAGGGCACGAGCTGAGCCCCAGCTGTAGCACAGTGGGGTTTTCCTTCTTTTTCATCATTTTTCTTTCACCTTTCCCACCCAGAAATGGCGTGAAATTGAATCCAGGCTGGTTTCCTTGGGTGAGGGGTTCCCAGCCCAACCACATCCTGATGGTGCTGGGCATGTCACTGGGAGGTGGCGGCTCTGGGCTGGCTCATCCCCTCCGCAGCCTCGGCAGGGAATGGGGAAACCGAGGCACGGGCTGCCCCCACCTCCCCCCTGGGGGTGTTGGACTCAGCCAGGCTGCCTGCAGAGGGTGGCTGGGGTGAAGGCATTTTAAGGAGGGAGCTGATCACCCCACCAGCCCTGGATCCTGCTGCCTTGGGGAGAGATGGGATTTTCTCCCTAGAGCTTTTCTCCCGGCCCCGAGCCAGAGTCCGGCTGTGGAGCCACCACCACCCCTCGAAGGGGTTAATCTCCTTCCCAGCAAGGCTTTTATTTTTTTTTTTTATCCCCCCTCCCCTGCTTTGGCAATGACAGCATTGTCTGGACGGGTCTGCAGCATGAAGAGAGGAAGAGGAGGAGGAGGA